GTCGACAAACTACTTTCAGTGATTTGTGTCAAAAATTGAAATTGATCATCGTCATTGTGTGTGTGTGTGTGTGTGTGTGTGTGTGTGTGTGTGTGTGTGTGTGCGCGGTTCTAATCCAGGGTGAAATAATAAATTTGTCAGGAGAGAATTTATTTCGTTTAAGTTCTCTCTCATGGCAAAATTATTCACTCAAGGACTTTTTTGTTAGATATCTTACCTAGAAACTGTCTGAACTAGCTAATCGCAATGATCGATAGAGCCGTAAAAGATAATAAAATATTCATTTTACGATTACATCACAACAATAATTCTCTCCCGTAATCCCACAAAACACCTAGTAGGGAAAAGGCTTTTATTTTTTGCAGTTGTAGGATAAGTCACAACGCATGCGTACAGTACGCTTTATGAGCTATACCCGTTCGGATATCGCTTACCGAATGAGTTGCACTCTAGCGAGGTATCGTTTTCCTGTAACCCTGATAACAATAAATCACTAGGGTCGAACTGGATTTCAATAAAGCAAACTGATATTTGCAACCCAGCCGGCCATCGACAATCAGTTGTCTTGGTTAGTACTAAAATGCATCTGTCAGTGGAAAAGTATCCTAGTTACTTGCTCATTAAAAGAACACATAACTGACAGCTTTTCAAAATTCTCAAATGAAAACGAATTATTTGGTTTTTTTTTCAGTAGAAGGAAGCTGAAGGGTCATAAATTTGTTTGTTTTTTGTTTGTTGTTTGTACATAAGCGGTCGTATACGATTTATTGCCAACTTTACGCAAGATCTCAGCCCTGCCAAATTTCCCCGTTCCTCAATTTCTGATAAGCATTCTCTGAATATGGCGGAGTACAAAGCAAAATACGCATAGCTGTTTGACAAGACTTGTACGAAAATTCAATATAAATTGTAACCTAATTGAGAACCTCTTCCTTCTAGTTATTTGGTTCAGAAGAAACACTTGATTGAATAGTTCATGTGGTAATTTAATGAAAAAATCATTCAAGGGATATTGGAGTTTTGATGCCACTTCATCACTACCGCTTCATTGGTTTTGAAAATCCATGGACCTTGCTTAGCTAGGGAAGAGGGCCAGAGATGTTGCGATAACGAGGGGTTGTTCAACTCAGTTCACCCTTGGACTCGGAACAAGTTAGCTTCCTTGTGATTACACAGTCACGAATTACTGCCATTTTTCTCCCGGGTTTCAGTTAGCGTACTGTGGAATCTCGTGCACTGTATTCCATGTTCACATTCTCATCGCAATCTATATGGTTGCAAACTCGATTTACATTTGGGTGTGCGAATAAATTCACATTCAATTTGTTTCTCGTTCAAATTAAAATTGGTGTGCATCTAGCCAAATAAATCAACCAAATGCCCATTTTAAGTTTCCTAATGTTAGGGGGTCCGAATTTCATCCCAAATCCGTAGGATTAGGGATAGGCCATCTTGTACGTGCCATCGGGTGTGCTCTGAACTTGATCTGACTTGCGTCATCCGTCCCCGCCCACCCACTCCCCTCGCACATACACAAACACACATCTTTAATTGTTGAATGTTCCGGCATTAACTCACGGTTTCCATAGATGCTCACATGACCAGAATTTGAGA